GGGGCGGGGCTAAGGAACGGGGGGAGGGTTGGGAGGTCAGGGGGGGCCGGGAAGTGGGAGGGGCAGGGGCGGGGCTAGGGCGGGGCTCCTCCCGTCCTCTTTTTTGCTCGCTGAAATATGGTAACCCTACAGAAACAAAACATTCACCAAGCAAAGAAGTTAAATGTACATTACATTGAAAGCAAGTCACACAATAGCCCCTAACTTTACAGAAAAGTGGAATTAAGTAAACTTCCTTACCCAATGGGGCATTTCCTTGAAATAATGTTTGCTTAGTTCCAAGACTACTCCCATTTGTAGACATAGCATTATTGTAAAAATCAGAACTAGTCAGATCACCCAGTATTGCATCCAAATTATCCAAGTCTCCACTCATCTAAAAGGAAAAAACAAACAAAATACTACTCTCACATTGTTCATCCTTTAACATTCCATTTAGCCCCTCACAAGTCTTAAGAACCCTTAGCAACATATGCAATCAAACACTTTAGTTCGGTTACGACATTTCAGGACTTAATGCTGACTTCCAAAGAATTCTTCAGACATCATTCAACTATTTGGTTAATTTTGCTTTGTTGGTTTTGGAAAAGCAAAACTTCAGGGAAAAAGTAGTTACACAAAAAATTAACCTGAATGCAAATATCTTTAGCATCTCAAATTTTAGAGACTTCTCCGCATTAGTCTCAAAAGTTTGAATGGTAAAGCAAAGCACTACGGGCATGACTTTAATTCATAGTTACAATTATTATAATTGTACCTGCCAATACCCAGTGCACCTAATTGATAATTTGTGCACATAATCACAGTAACCATATGTGCAAATTAGGCACATCTTTTGCAGGGTAATTGCATGGCTACCGTTCTTTGAAAATTTGTCCCTGAATCACATAGTTTGAACAAAATAGATCTGTTAGTTTGCTAGATTATAACCTCACCATGAAAGTGTTCCATAATTCTCAGAGATTTAAAGAGCACATGTATATATAAACTACATAGCAGTTGGTAATTGTCTTCCTATATGGTACAGAAAACTCCGGATGATTATTGAAAAACCACCCTATGAATAATCAACATTATTTATATTGCAGAAGTTCCCAAAATGTGCTAGGCACTGTACAGAAATACACAGACCTTCCCTGAAGAACTTTACAAGGCCCCTATGCCTACCAAGAGCACCACTGACTTCAATAAGGAGCCAGCCCAGGCAGAGCAGTTGCAGGATCACAGGCCTAAATTCAACTACTTTCGATTATGAAAGCATCTATTCAGATATATTTAAATACAGTTGAACATTTTCAAATAGTGTTTTAAATTGGGATAAGAAATAACATTTGAAGACAAAATGGGTTTCCATTCAGGTACAGGGGTCTGTCTGTACGGAACAATTTAAAGAATCAGCTTTGGCTACTGTATGTACATGTAACTCAAGTTGTTTGATGGCACTTCCTCTCCAACTTCCCGACTTTTTTTTTTTAAACATCTAAAGTACTGAAAAGCACAAATCACATAATATATATTCAGTTATAGACTTTCTTTACAGGATTCACTGGCATTATTCTCACATTTACACCAATGTAATCAACAGTAATGTCACCGGAACCACCTCTGTGTAAATCCAGTGTGAGAAACTAGCACCCCACATTTTTAAACCGAATTGCATATAGAAAATGGATCGTTTCCACTTATGTTCATTCTCTTTTACTTCCTACTGTAGTACCCACAACTAATTTATTGAGTCAGCTGGCAGCTCCATTTCCAAATGACCCATGAAAATAAATATATGCTATGTAAAAATTGCCAATTTTAAAGATTTAATTTTAACTAAACTAAATATACTTTGCCTTGTTTGATAGCTCAATACTAATATTATTCAAAGAACTCCAGTATAGCACATTTTATTACAATATATTCTGTTGTTCAAGTTAAATGTACTTTGTTAACTATCATAAAACTAAACATATGTTTTTATGCTGTGGTTACTCAGTACTGTCTTGGAAATAATCATACACAAAAATTAAATGATCTCCTTTTTGGTTGTTAACGCTAATAAGAAAAATATTGGTGAGTTCAACAACAAAATTCCTGTACAAGGTTAAATACTCTACCTCTTCAGAAGGTTCTGTTTTTATTTTAATCTCTTTTTCTTGGCTTGAAGTAGGAATAGTGGAGCTACTGCAGTGTCCCATTTTATTATCCAGAACTTCTACCTTAGGTTTCATTTCTTTTGAAAGTGGATCCTTTATATCATCCTTGTCTAGTAGGTATCTGAGTAGAGCATTGTTTTCCTTCTTCTTAGGACTCAGTTGTTCCTGTTTGATAGTTCCTTCTACACAGGGGGCTGTATTGCTGGAGTCATGGTAGGTATCTTTACCAGTAGCTTCAGCTGTGATCTTTGCTACTTCTGCTGGAGAATTACCATTCTGTAACAATTTATGCAAAATCCTGTGCTTTTCTTGTAGCAGGGACCCATGCATGTTTGATGAGGAAGAGACCCCTCCAGATGTAGAAGAGGAGACTCCTGAGGGACTTGTAACATTGGTAGAAGATTCTTTACAACCAGAGTCCAATGGTGAGTTTGACAACGTAGAATGCCCTCTCTCATCTGAGGAGCATGTGAGTAACTGAAGGAGCTTTTTATGACCTTTGCTTTCATTTGGTCCCCTCTGACTCTCAGACCCTTCCAGATTTCCTTCTTTACTGTCTTTGTCACTAAGGAGGTCCCTGTTTGACTGGCACATAGAACTCTCCACTTGACTTTGTTCACAATACAAGCCAGAAGGACTCTTTGAGTCCTGGTTGCCCATTTTACTTTGCTGAGCTATATTCATATTTGGGGAATTATCCAATTTTGGACCTGGTGAGGAAAGTGTTGATAGAAGGGAAGTTCCAACCCCCTCGCTAATGGCTTGAAGGGCACTAAGGGAACTGCTAGAGAAGCTGTTGTTGCCAGTGTTGCTAGCAGATCCCATTGGCGAGTGCATACCTGTATCAAAGTTATTATGTTAGAGTTATTACATAAGAGAAGCGATCATATCTACATTTGATTTTACTTGTCAGGTAATCATTATACTGAATAAGTCTATTTAAGCATGCACATTAAGAACTGAAATACAGATAGCAGAAACAAGAAATACTGTAGCATTAATTACTGTACCTTTAAATAGATCCTCATCATAAAATTAGGTATTTTACACTAAGGTATAGTAGTTCAGATGTTATAAGACCATAATATATAAAAAAACCAAAAAAGAAAGATAAAAAAGGGGCAAAAAGCAAACCCTAGAGAAAATTTTATACCAAAAATAAAATACCTGCAACTGGAGAAAACTGGTGTGAACCCATTTTTGGACTCCCACGATTCCTAGGAGAAATCATTAAGTTCTGTTGGTTGGAAGTCAAGCTGGGACTACCATGTGGTGGACTACTCATAGTTAACCCATAATTGTTGTTCTGATAAGGAGAGGACTGCATTCCTGGTCCAGAGTTGATGGGTCCAATATTACCAGGACCTATGTATCTAATGCCGCTCATCTGTCCCATCGCACTGGGATCTCCCATGCCATAGTTTCTGTTCTGCATTGGCATGCTTTGACCTGGTGACATGTTCATAATAGCACCAACAGAATTTGTGCTTCCAGCTGTAGATGCTCTGATGTTTTGTCCCACTGGATTGGGATTTGGACGATATCCATTCTGTTCTCTGTAAATTCAGCATCCCGCCACCCCACCCCACAGAAAAACATTTAAAACTTTATAAGAATCAAGTTCCACGTAAAGAGAATTGATAACATTATTTAATAATCACTAAAAAAAGTAGCAAGAAATACATAAGCTACATCCACAAAGGTGTCACTAAACTTGAGTCATTGAGTGGCCATACTGCTCATTCATTCACACATTATAAAGGAGTAAAAGTCATTTAATTTGTGGGGGAACTCAACCTTATCCCATTAAAGCATTTTATATCTCTGGCCGTTATTTAGATTTACGCATTTATCATTTTGAACATCACCCTTCTTGTATCACTTTCTTCTCCGAGTCAATGAATGACACCACTCCACTTGTCACAGAAAAAACACTTTAATATTGCCATAAACAATCTCAGCTGCTCATTGACCAGCAGCTGGGAGCATTTCTGCAGTGACAGCGACAGACTACTTCCAAAGTGCCTTTCAATTAATCTTGCAATCAACAGGGACAAGTCACAGGAGTTACTATTTAAGGCAAAGTCGGACTTTTTACTTCTTGAGAGATGTCTGGTATATTTTACCAGTTCATTTCTTTGTCTTTAAATGGATCTCCAGTAAGAAAGTGTCAAAGAAGATAAAGTGTTTAATTGGGTCTTTCTATCCATCCAAGCTTTACTATTAAAAATATACATTCTAGAGGAAAGTGAATGGATAAAATAGTGACCCAGAGGGAAAATTACCAATTAGCTATTATGATAGTAGACTGGGTTTATGATAGTAAAACAAGACCTGCTTTAAAAAACTTGTTTGGTTTTTGTTTCTTAAATATATAAACGTATTGTAGGTGAGATCTAAAACAGCAATTTTATTCATATGAGACAATTTTTCATGTGTGCTTACTATATTGTTTTGTGGGGTTTTATGTTGTTTATTTTGGTTAAACAAATCTTTATATAGCAGAGGTGGCCAAACTGTGGCTTGAGCTCTTTTACAGTTAAAATGAAGATTATTGTATGCGGCTTAGAAGGTCAGTAAGTTTGGCCACTCCTGTTGTATAGCATTAAATATCAATAAAAATGTGTGTTTTAAAAAAGCTACAATATTTAAATCTGACAGATGAACATTGTTAATTGCACCTTTGAAGGAAGTGGGTGGAGACAAATCCATGACGGTCATTAGTTCCTGGATTTCGTAACAATTTACTCTTTGTTTGTGCCGTCACTATAGTACCATCTGCTAAGGAGAACCGATACAGTGGAGTTTCAGCATGGCCTTGTATATAAGCTGTGAGGAAAAACACAATTGCACAGCGGTAATCTGCTTGTATTTCAGATTCCAAAGACCAAGTAATTTATGTAAGCTTTACTATAATTGTTGAACAAAATACTCATCAGATTAATACGCTGAAAAACTAGATTAAAAAACAGACATGATACAGGATGGGTATCCAAAGACTTGGAACATACTGCTACAGTTCCCAAAAACTAACGGGGGGGGAAGGGGAGAGACAGCAAATCAAAATATAGAATCATAGAAGTGTAGGACTGGAAGGGACCTCAACAGGTGATCTAGTGTGATCCCCTACACTCAAGGCAGGACTAAGTATTATCTAGACCATCCCTAACAAGTGTTTGTCTAACTTCCTCTTTAAAATCTCCGATGATGGGGATTCCAAAATATCCCTAGGTCATTTCTTCCAGTGCTTAACTACCCTGAGAGTTAGGAAGTTTTTCCTAATGTCCAACCTAAAACCTCTCTTGCTGCAATTTAAGCCCATTGTTTCTTGTCCTATCCTCAGATTAATTAGAACAATTTTTCACCCTCCTCCTCGTAATAACCTTTTATTTACCTGAAAAATGCCACCCTCAGTCTTCTCTTCTCCAAAGTAATTAAACCTAATATTTTCAATCTTTCCTTGCAGGTCATGTTTTCTAGACATTACTCATTTTTGTTGCTCTCCTCTGGACTTTCTCCAGTTTGGCACATCTTTCCTGAAATGGGGTGCCCAGAACTGGACACAATACTCCAGTTGAGATCTTGATAGCCCAGAGTAGAGTGGAAGAATTACTTCACGTGTCTTGCTTACAACTCTCCTGCTACTACATTCCAGAATGATGTTCACTTTTTTTGCAACACGGTGGTACACCGTTGACTCATTTAGCTTGTGATCCACTATAACCCCCAGATCCCTTTCTGCAGTATTCCTTCCTCAGCAGTTATTTCCCATTTTGATATGTGCAATTGATTTTTCCTTCCTAAACTGAGTACTTTGCATTTGTCCTTATTGACTTTCATCCTATTTACTTTAGACCATTTCTACAGTTTGTCCAGATCATTTTGAATTTTAATCCTACCCTCAAAAGCACTTGCAACCCCTCCCAGCTTCGTATTATTCACAAACTTTGTAAGTGTACTCTCTATGCCATTATTTAAGCCATTGATGAAAATATTGAACAGAACCTGACTCAGGACCGATCCCTAAGGGACCCCACTCAAAATGCACTTTCAGCTTTACTATGAACCACTCTCTGGGAATGGTTTTCCAACCTTCCTTATAGTAACTCCAGGTAGGCTATATTTCCCTGGTTTGTTTATGAGAAGGTCACGTGAGACAGTATCAAAAGCCTTACTCAAGTCAAGATACACCACATCTACCGCTTCCCCTATCCACAGGGCTTGTTACCCTGACAAAGAAAGCTATTAGGTTGGTTTGACATGATTTGTTCTTCAGAAATCCATATTGACTGTTACTTATCACCTTATTATCTTCTAGGTGTTTCCAAACTGATTGCTTATTGCTCCATTATCTTTCTGGGTACTGAAGTTAAACTGACTGGTCTGTAATTCCCCACATTATCCTTATTCCCCTTTTTATAGATTGGCACTATATTTGCCCTCTTCCAATCCTCTGGAATCTCTCCTGTCTTCCATGAGTTTTCAAAGATAATCGCTAATGGCTCAGATATCTCCTCAGTCGGCTATTTGAATATAGTTTTTGCTGACTGCACAGATCTGTTAGAACTCTAAAGCTGCTGATGCATTTATCAATGGTCTGCTTTGATTCCAAGAAAAAGGTTTAGACATTTCAATCTTCAAATCACCCTCAAACGTGATGCAATAATTAGTATCTATCAGAGTAGTAAAAAATTTTCCAATAAAACAACTTTAATCAAAAAATGGTGATCTGATGAAATTCAAATGTTTCATGGAAACTTACTGATTTAATAGAAATTTTCAACTGGAAATTATCTAAACAGTTCATTTTGATGAGGTTGAAACATCTAATTTTGACTGTGTTTTATAGTAAATTATAAACTATAATGTAATATATAAATCAAAACAAAAATGTTTCTATAAGGTCATCACATGAAAAATTCCAAGATTTTGACGTTGTGTCCCAAATTTGGGATGAAACAAAATTTCAAAGTCTCAGAATTTCCTGAGGGGTAGAAATTCCACTTTTTCAGCCAACTCTAGTATTTAGCTATTTAAAATTGCTTATGTCTCTTAGAATTCCCCAGACAAAGCTGGGTAAACATATTTATATAATTAATTCTCTATTAAACAGATTATTTGGCATAGAGGGAAAAAGGTTTAAATATCATCTTTCATCTGTAGCTCTCATATGAATGGGACAAAGGTAATCAGTGACCAAGAGACATTACCAACTAAGAGCTATTCATAGAACTACATAAAATGACTTGATGGCAGAGAGACAAAGTATGTGCGATAATATCTTTTACTGGACCAAGTTCTGTTGATGAGAGACAAACTTTCAAACTTACACAGAGCTCTTCTTCAAGTCACAGTCTATTTCATAATAGGCACATCCCCCTTCTTGACAAAAGCTAACAAATAATCTACTGTTACTTTTTTTTTTTTTTTGCTAAAAGCGGACCCCTCCAAGTCAACGTACAGCCATGCTAGCAGCTCATTAAGGAAGCATGGCTTAATCTGCTGCTTTCCTGCTGTACCTATCTTGTGGACAAACAGATAAATTCAATCTACAGGAATATCTGTCTGGTATATTTCATAAAACCTGTCAAACACCAATGGACATACTTGAACAACAAGGCAGCTGCTACACCAGGCACTCCTTAATAGAGATCTCACCATCCTTCAGTTTATAAATATGAGAAAGAGCATTTTCCACTGGTTCAAGACATGGAAGAGCATGTACAATAGCAGAGCTTAGTGGTTTTATCTCTCTCTCTCTCTCTCTCACACACACACACACACACACACACACACACACACACACACTTACTTGCAACTAGCAAGAAAGACAGTATACTGAACACTGCAATCTGAGCTACCTTCTTGATAGTGGCGTTTGTTTGACCAGGACTGTCCATCATTATGGCACAAAAACCTCTGAATACACCGACGGATTGTATCTTCAAAGCCAGGTCTCATGGAAGACCGTAATGAGTTTGTATCTATGTTGACGAGTTTACCTGTCACAGGAAAGAAAAACTTAAGATAATCATACAGTCCCTGTCATTTTAAATATAATCCTAATATTAAAAATACAGAATAATATTTCAAAAGTCACCAAATATTGTCTATATTATGTTTTTATAATGTACCCATCACTGTAGCATCTAAGCACTGAAGTTGTTTTCTAAGCGTCTATCTAATCTTTTCACTTACACACAGCTTCCCATGCAAGATCTCAAACTGCTTTATGAACATAAATTCTGAACACCCCTGTGAGGTAAGTTATTACCATATCATTTTTACATATAAGGAAACTGAGGCACCAGAGGTTAATGCCAAAATTCTCAAAAGCGTATAACAATTTTGGGTTTCCCTGGTTTTATGCAACCGAAAGGAGACCCCGAGGGCATGGTTTGCAGAGATTATAAAGAACTACACCTGAAATCAATAGGAGCTGCAGGTGATTGGCATCTTAAAGCAAAAAACTGCCCAATGTGTTTAAATATTTAAAATTTAAATACCACAGCAGACTATAAAGGTTTCATGATGTTACAGAAGGAAAGGAGAAATTATCTCAATGAGTCTTCATTAACTTGATATATGATTAATAAACACTTTAGGAATACTTCTAGAGGAAGATGTAACGTAAATAATTTGAAATATTACCTCGTTAAAGAAAGAAAGGCAACAGTACAAGTAGTACTAGTTATTCCAAGTATTAAAACTTATTTGCCACAATTTTTATACAAAACAAAACAAGGAAGAAGAGCCATCCATTACCTTCACCTCAAGTAGATTTCTCACCTGAAAGGTCATGTCTCGTAATAAAGCTTTCTGGGTTTGTTGGAAATACCCTTTCCACTGTAGTGATGCGACGTGCCACACAAATCATACAGGACTGCAAATCTGCAATGAAAGAGTTATTTTCCTCTGTGTCCTATTTATTCTATTATTACATTTCTTATAAAGGAGCAGGACTCTTGCAATATTAAGATAAAGGCATAATATGGGAGACGAGATTTGAGGATTTTGCATTTAACTCCTAAATTATTCTAAACATGGAATTCTGAAACCCCAGGCTTCATAACATAAATTAAGTAGTAAATAACTGTAGTAAGAGGATTTTCCTGTACAAAATTACCTTCCCCTTCTTCCATCATAGCTCTTGGCTGAGATAAAGCAAAACACTGCATGGTTTCATATCTCTGACGCGATTCCTGGTTGCTGCCCACATCATCCAAAAGATCATGAGATGTTTTTACCATCATGCGGCAATTAAACGTATGACTCTTCTGTCTAGGTGTTTCATTGGTCCAAGCAACTCCATTAACTAAAAGAAAATAATCATAAAAGTTCACAAAGATTTTAAAATAAAATTAATTCTTAATTGCCTGATTTTTGAAGTATGCAGTGTTGTACCTTTGTCGGTCCCAGGATATTAGAGAGAGAAAGTGAGTGAGGTAAGATATTATCTGACCCACCCGATCTCTGATTTTTGAAGCTCAGATACTATAACATTTTTAAAAGATTTGTTAAAAGGTCATCATATTGATACTTTGGGGATAGTGTTCTTCACTGCTGGTTGAAAGAACACCATCCCCTCTAAGGTACTTTCAGCCCCAATCAAACGGGAGTGGAAAAGTCATTCCCTTGTAAAAAAGGGCAGGTAGTTCCCATTTGTTCACGGACTTCAAATCTCAGCTGTCTAGCAACACAGTTATGAGATATTGATTGAAACCATTCAATCAGCTTTTTGCTGAAAACTACAGTATTTACACAATTCCAGATGGTAGCTTCTGCTTGAAGAACAAAAGGACTAAAAGAACCTAATTATTCTGCTTCAAAATGGGGAGAGACACGTCAAAGCTGAATTGTTAACAGTTCCCAGAGCTTCATCAGGATGTGGAGAGAACTTGTGTAACATTATTTTAGGGCTTATCTTCACGAGGAATTCTGGAATAGCTATTCCTGATTAACTCCATAAGTGAAACCTCTTATTATAAGAGCTCTTTATTCTAAAGTAGTTTACTTGAAGTGTATTAAGCAATTTCAGAATAAAGCACTCTTATTCCAGAATAAGCATGTCCACACAGAGTTTTTCAGGAATAATTAATCCATGTTAAAGTCACACTTCACTTTATTCTGGATAAATTTTCATATATAATTAAAGCTATGTTTTAGTCCTAGGTATTTTTAGTAAATGTCATGGATAGTAAACAATAATTCAGGGCCTGTGACCAATCCATGACTTGTACTATATACCCCTGACTAAATCTTGGGTGCTCCGGGGCAGGGGGCGGCCCAGGACCACAGCTGATACAGGGGGAGAGGGACAACGCTGGTGCTGGGAGGGACAGACCGAGACCATTGCTGCTGCTGGGGGCAGGTGGGGGCGGGGTCTCAAGACTGCCCCAGTAGCGGCCTGTGCGGCTGTCCCTGGGGTCAGTCACTCTGGCCACTGCAGAAGTCACAGAGATCACAGAATCAGTCACTTCCCTGACAGACAAGGCCTTATGTATAATGAATCCCTTAGAAACAGGCAAGCCAACCTCAAATGCCCATCTCTCTTTCACTTTATCAGAGTATAGAAACATGCAACTCCATAAACCTAGGCATTTGTTCGCTACAACCACACAGCATGAATATCTGAACCTACGTTCTGTTAGTTGCTTATATAATTTCTAGTTTGAAATTAACATTTTAAATACTTAGATCAAGAGGATATAGATTTAAACGGTAGTCCTGGTTATGAAATTTTGTTTTCATTCTTCTGCTCGTCTGCTAACAGCAAAGAATGCATAATCAATGTTGCAATATTCCTATTAATTTAATGTTAAAAGTCATATCCTAAAACTCAAGACAAGTGATAGTTGCACCATAAGAAAGAGATTTGTTTTGTAAGGTTAAAAATTTTGGAGTTTTTTATTTATTTTTTAAAAAGTCTGAGAATCTAAGTGAAGACCCTATTACCTGCAGATTTAGGTAAGTTTTTAAGGAAGTCCTTCTGGTCCTCTTCATGCAAGATGCTGTAGACACTTGTATTAACCAAATCCTCTTGTTTATACTGCAGATATTGTGCGACATTTTCTGATACAAATACAATGTTCCCATCTCGATTTACTACAAACAGGAAACCATCCAATGCCTAAAAATACATTGCAACGATACATTATAAACACACACACAAAATTCCAGACCTGCTAAAACAGTTCATTTTAAAAAGTAAGTGGGAGATAAAAGTGTTGTAGTTTAGGAGAAGAATCACTTAACTTTTCTGGTAGAAGAATTAAAGTTTCAAGTTTTCCTTAAAGAGAAACTTTCCTAGTAAGGAAAGTTTCAAGTATCAGAAACCTGCTGTTCATTTGTTCTTCCACTATTGATCTTAACATGGTGATAATCAAACATTTGGTTTTTAACTCTTTTAGCCTGGAAACATGACACTGAGTCTGTGACATCTCAGTAACTTCTTTAACAATACAATGAAGTCAAAGTCAGGATTATAAATTCGCCACAAGACCTTTAAGAAGTAGAAGTGGAGTGTGAGGGAAATAGCCTTCTTACGGATACATTTTCAATACCAATGAAGAACATAAAAAAAGAGAGAGAGAGAGAGAGAGAGACTATCCACTTTTTAAAAACCACTGTACTCATTCCCAAATCAGAAACAGCATTAGAATATCTCTAAGACACTTAGCTTTGAAAGTACTTCAAAAACTTGACTCAAAATAGCAGCCTACAACATACTGAACTACTTTGTGTACTAAGCAGTAAGACTGGTTTCCTGGTTTTTAGAACTCTTAATAAAAGTTACCTAAGTGATTCTTATGTAATTTGGAGTCTCAACATGTGAGGGCAGCAGCAAACTGATCTACTGCATATGGCAGTGGTCATCAACTGGTCGATCGCAATTGACTGGTCAATCCTAGAGGATCTCCCAGTCGATCAAGATCTCCGGCGGTACAGTGTGGCTGCTGCTAAGGCAGACTCCCTGCCTACCCTGACCCCACTCTGCTCCTGGAAGCGGCCAGCACAGCGCAGCTCTGCGGCCCTGGGGGTGCAGGGGTCTCCCTCCACGCTCTACTCCTGCCTGCAAGCACTGCCCCCCTAGCTCCTTGGCTGGAAGAGCTGCAGGGACGGTGCTTGCAGAGAGGGGCAGTGCGCAGAGACACGTGCCCCCAGCAGCCCCCTCACCCCCAGGCGCGTTAGCCCCTTCCAGGAGTGGTGTGGGGCCGGGGTAGGCAGGGAGCCTGCCTTAGCCCCGCTGCACCCACCGCCTACCGGGAGCTGCCGGAGGTAAGTGCTGCCTGGTGGGAGGCCGCATCCCAACTTCCATTGCTGAGCCCCCTCGTGGAGCAAGCACCCCATACCCCCTCTTGCATCCCAAACCCCTTCCTGAACCCCAAGCCCCACCCTGAGCCACCTTCCAGAGCCAACAACCCAAACCCCCTCCTGCACTCCAAGCCCCAGCCCTGAACCCCCTCCAGGAGCCAGTACCCCATACCCTCTCCTGCACCCCTTCCCAGAGCCTGCACCCTGACCCCCTCCTGACACCCCAATACTCTCCCCCAGCCTGGAGCCATCTCCTGTACCCAAACTCCCGCATAGAGCTTGCACCCCCCACCCCCTCCCAAACCCCTGCCCCAGCGCAGTGAAAGTGAGTGGGGGTGGAGGAGAGCAAGCGATTGGGAGGGGTTGGGAGGGGCTTTGGGGAAGGGGCAGGGTCTCGGGAAAGGGGCAAGGTAGATGCTGGGTTGCCCTTAGATTCAAAAAGTGATTTTGGGCGTAAAAAGGTTGGAGACCACTGGTATACTGGAATTGATCCTAAGAAGCACCATTCTGCACCTGGTGACAATGGGAATTCAGGTGTTCATTGCTTCCCAGAATCAGACTCCCGGTCTTACAGACCATCATCAAGCCATGAAAGTGGCCCAAAGTCCTTGACAGCCATTTCCTGAGGTAAAAAAAAAGGGGGGGGGGAAACTTGAATGCGGAGTCTAGTCAATGTAATCTTATTAGCCATTTATTGGGACTACTACAAAAATAGAACAGCATGCTAAGGCAAACCCAAATGCCATCTGATTTTGAATCCTTCTAGACTGCTTCAGCAGAGTTGAGAAAACAATGATGGATTTTATTTTTTGTCCTTTTAAAACAATGTTCTCCACTGCCCTTGCACGCTAGTTTTTGTTGTAGGACTGCTGGCATTTCTCAGTGTTGTAATCCTGTCACATAACCTATTGCTTAAGACTACGCAATATCAAATCTCATTTGGTTGTACCAGAGCATCATTTACACTTGCCTGTAGTAAAAGAGGTCCCAATGAATCCTTATCAATAACACCTTGACCTGTAGAAGATACATCAGCCTTCTGTACATCATCATCACAGGATGCTGTTTTTCCTAAAATCAAAAAGACAAGGTTTCAAAAAGGCACCATTTTGTGTTTGGAAGCATAGAAATATTTTTTTGAAGTTATGTGCTGCATTCCAGGAAGCCTCAGAATAAGCAATGAAGCTGTAATTATACGATACCATTTAATGTTACAATTATATGCACAAAGGGAGCACAACACTTTTTTTATACAGTAGAACTTCTGGGCAGAGATTGTCTTCCTGTGTGTTTTGAAAGCACCTAGCAAATTTTGGATTTTGCCACACCACGAACAGTTTTCATGACAAAACTTCTTCCACTGGGAAGATGATTGCTTTATGAAATGACTGTCCTCCTTTGGTCACTTTTGGCTGGCCAGCACAAACTTTTCAATATAATGAAAAGCTTCCTAATTCTTCCCTTCTTCCTGTACAACCGTGTGGAAGATAAACATTTTAAATCATGTTCAGACTTAATTTGAGCTTTAGCCTAGAAAGTAATCCAATTTAACATGCAGAATGTACGATTTGCTCATTTAATTGTGTTCTTGGATCCAAATCAAAATACAAGACCAGAAACAAATTCTCACTTGGCCTTCTGCAGATTACTTAATCATATCTGATGCCAATAATTAAAATCTTTTTCAGCATTTTAACCTAAAATATACTGAAGAAAAAGTAAAAGTTTGTTACAAGGAAAAAAAATAAAAATAAAACCATGCAGTAAAGTAATGGAAAACAAGCAGTAATCTCTATTACTGTGGCACCTACTGGCTGTTTAAGCAGACCACAACAGGAGTTTAATGTACCAAAGGAAGATCATCAACCAGTGAAGTGCACAATGAAGTGGCAATAATGCCACCGGGAAAGAACTTCTAAAATAGCAATTAAGGCTACTTTAAAAAATAGAAACACGTTCCAACAGGGCAGCCAAAGCAGAATTTGGAAGTTTACCATTCCAAGTAAAGTGTGTGATATATTCCAGCAGGCTTCTAACATAATTTACTACTGAATGGAAACTCACTGAACTGGCATATACCTGATGTGCAATCTATTCTAATTTTTTTGAAGTCACTTCTACCAGCACATGTCTCACAATTACCAGAGATTTAGGGGGAAAACAGCAAATTTAACAATTATATTTGTCTGATTTGTTTAAAAAACTACTATTGTTACAAGTGAAACCTAAAAACCATCCTGTAACTAAGACATTAGCAAAATAGATTTTCCTCTATATTTTCCCCCGTTTATGCTGCACTTGATTACATTTGGTGTACATTTAATGGCACTTTTTAATTGGTTACATGGTCAGCTAGTTGCAGTCTGACTGTATTGGACCCCAGTTATTTTCCCTTGCTAGAAAGGCTCTCAAACACCAAAACAGGAGCAGAAAAGGCAGAAAAATGTAACATGAATTTAAAAAATAATTTAAAATTTCAGGACATAGCACTGAAAGGATGCTCTATAAGGAACTGGGCATCTTTTATAAATTAGTTTCAGACAATCCAAGTTGGCAGGGAACCTTTAATTGATAGGCAATAGATGGATTTCTTTACTCCAGTGGGCAACTAGTCCATCTATGTTTTGAAGTACAACTGCTTTATGACCTATTTTAAGTTTTTATTGCTTGTTTAGTAGTTTAAGGAAGCTAATAAGAAACGGTGTACTTTAGGCCCTGATTCAGGAAAGCTTCCCTATTCATAAAGGGTGTTAAATATAATGCTTAAAGTTAAGCAACTGCTTAAGTCCCACTAAGCACATGCTTAAAATTAAGCATGTACTAAGTGCTGAATAGGGAATAAGCCCTGAACAGGAATGGATTTAAGCATGTGCTTAAATGCTTTCCTAAATCAGGGCCTATTGTATGAAAACTCCATTGTATTGTCTCAGCAACTAAGTATTGTTTTGGAGAGAAACTGCCTCCTGATAGAAAACCAAATATTCTTCCTTATAATTTGAGAGAGAAATCCTTACCTTGTTCCTTTATCTGCCGGATCTGTCTTACAGTTTCCTTTAAAATTGCACATTTATCTGGTTTGACATTGAAATTGTCAATGTCACTCAGATTAGCAGATATCAGCTCAGCTAGCTCCTCAATATATTTGCTTTCCTGCTCACGTCGGCGTTTCTCACCACTGCAGATCAGACTAGGAACAAGAAGCAGCATTTAATGTACATAAATTTCAGCATAAACAAGAGCTATGATCACACTGTCATCTTTGATGCACTTACATACCACTTATCACATAAGTTTAGCTAGTGGACATTCATCTCATCAATTTACACCTGTAGGTTTTTACCATATAAAGGAGTGTATCTTCAGAGATTATGACAAGATTATTATTCCAAGAATAACTGTTGTAGTTATTTTCTTATTGAATTTAATGAAAATTCCAACTATTACAAAACTAATGTATTTGTACTATATAGGCATTTTAAGGTGGAAAAAGCTGCAGCACCTGCTTGGCCAATAAGCTATAAACAAAGTTTTACATCTAATTCAATGGCATTTCTCTGTCAGTAATACAATAACTTTGGAACACTGCACCCATCAATTCCAGAATTTCAGGAAATGTTCTAGATATCAGTGGGCACAAGTATGTTGATTTAAAGGCAGATCAGAACACCAGAAAAGCTTATTTCACAGGAAAATCAGGGCTTCCAGAGTGACTGGTGTTGCAGGCAGAAGAATCTCTCTGCTGCCCCTGGTGGAGGTCTACACATACCAGAAGCAGCATCTTAACTGGCTGCATGGGGACAGCCTGTAGTTTGGAATATCACAGAAATAAGAAAGCTTTACAAGTAGCAGGGAGGACCTAGGCGGCTGGGTCAGCAGGGTGGAAGTAGGAATCTAGAGGGCAATGGAGATGGGGAGGGGAAAGCAGGGATCCAGGGAAACGTGGAAAATGGGGACAGTGGGGAGGGGGTTTGTGTCAGCAACCTGGAGAGGGAGGAGTGGATATGAGTAGGTCCCTACCAAATTCACAGTCCATTTTGGTCAATTTCATGGTCATAGGATTTTTAAAATTGTAAATTTCATTATTTAAGATATTTAAATCTGAAATTTCACGGTGTTGTAATTGTACGAATCCTGATGCAAAAGGAGGATGTTGGGAGGGGCGAGGGGGAGAAGAGGGTCCCTAGGTTATTTTAGGGGATCGTGGTATTGCCACCCTTACTTCTGCACTGCCTTCAGAGCTGGGTGGACAGAGAGCGGAGGCTGCTGGCTGGGAGCCCCCAGCTCTGAAGGCAGAGCCGCTGCCAGCAGCAGCACAGCAGTAAGGATGGCATGGTATGGTATTGCCACCCTTACTTCTGTACTGCTTCCTTCAGAGCTGGGCCCTCGGTCAGCAGCCGCCACCCAGCTCTGAAGGCAGCAGCACAGAAGTAAGCGTGGCAATACCACGATTCCCCCTAAAATAACCTTGTGACACCCCCCCACAACCGCCTTTTTGGGTCAGGACTACCAGTTTGAGAAACGCTGGTCCCTGTGAAATCTGTATAGTAAAGGGTAAAAGTACACAAAAGACCAGATTTCGGAGGGAGGGGAGACCAGATTTCACGGTCTATGGTGCGTTTTTCATGGCTGGGAATTTGGTAGGGCCTTAGATGCGAGGAAGGGAAAATGGGGACTGGGCGGGGGGGGGGTAGGATATGGAGGAAAATACAGAAACCCTACCATGAGGGGAAGGGAGAAGGCACACAGAGAATCAGGCATGGGGAAGACAATGCAGGATTTTGGTATGCGGGCAAACACAGAGACCCAGGCATGGGGGGAAAAGGGGGAATGGAGGTGCACACAGAGCCTCTGCCATGGGGGAAGGATATGGGCACACAAAGAGCCCCTAACATGGAGAGGGTGAATAGGGGTCAATGGCATGGGGGGGAAGAACATGGGGTACACAGAGCACCTTAGCATATGGAAGAGGGGGTTATGGGGGACATTCAGAGCTTCTGGCATGAGGGTAAGGGTGGAGGGACTTGTAGGGAGTCCCTTAAAGGATTTTATCAACTGAATACAAATGAATAGCAAAACTCTTTTAATATTAACGTCAATTAAAAACTAAAAACAAAACACCACGCTGCACTATTTATAATTTTATTATGAAAAATTTAATAAAAACAGTGAGGAAAATGTGTTTACTGTACCCTGGTCCTGGGGCATCACAGGGCAATGGCTTGCGTTTCCTTGACTCACTGGTCAAACTGTCCAAGGAGTTTTCTCCCAATCCACTCATCTTGATTGAGCAACAGCCAACTGAGTTTACATCAGCAACTGAAGTGTTAAAAAAAAAAAATCACAAACTGATGATGCTCTCAAGAGATTTCAAACAATTAAAATAAATTGTTTTACAGTATTCTTTATCGATTTTACAGTGAGACTATCCAGATAAGCACTAAGTCATAATTTATAGCAGCCTTGCAAAATTTTAGTCACCCCAGGATGCATGATATTTTTGGGACCAATGTGTAATATATTGCTTTAACTATCAATCACCACTTACTGCTCTACATGATGCAAGAACTTGGAGGATCAAAGCTTGAGGAGCTCAAAAAATATCATGTGGTCAAATTATTGCTAAGAAAAAAATACTGTAGATTACTGCACATGCTCAGATGCAACATACTTTCTAAGCACTATATAACCAAAGCAGTACACACAATCCATATTTAAAAACAAACAAACAAACAAAAAAAACATCTCCCAGATCTGTACCACTTGCTGGAAAAATCTAGGACATAAGAATCAACAGCTTCTTCAGCAACAGATGCATAAAATATCACTGTCGAGATAGAAATGTTACCACAATTGTTACATATCCTCTAACTTTGGCCATTAAATCACCATCTGAGTCAATGAGTGTTTTCCAGGGAGCAATAAGGAAGTTACACTCAGTGCTAACTAAGAAGTGCCTTTAGATAAAAAGTAATTTTTGGCTCATAAAACACTGGATCATTAAACAGCTATGCTAACCACAGGCACAGAACACATGTTTTAAATATTTGCCAAAACAATTCTCATGTCGGTCAACAAATCACAAATTCTTAAAATCACATATTCTATAAAAACATTTACTTACCTGTACAGTAACTGTTGCTCTTTGAGATGTGTTGTGCACATATACATTTCACTGCGGGTGCTTGTGTGCCTAGAGCACTCGAGTTGGAGACATTTCTCTCCAGTACCACTATGCAGTGCATGCTCTCCTCATGCTGTCAGCTGAGAGCATAAAGAGGTGTGTGGTTGCCACCTTTCTCTCAATTACTTTGCAGTGCTATATGTGATATCTGAAGCAGTGGGAAAGGTGGGAGGGTCAGGGAATGTATATGTGCACAACACATCTCAAAAAACAAGACAGGTAAACTTTTTCCCCCCCTTCAAGTGATTGTGCGCATATACATTCCACTGCAGGTGACTCGTCAGTTCCCTTACAATGGAGGGATCTTGGATCATCTGAACAGAGATTGTAACACTAAAGTTGGCATGATCACGAGTGGCTTAAGTGATGGTGTAATGAGAAAAAAAACAGGAGTACTTGTGGCACCTTAGAGACTAACAAATTTATTAGAGCATAAGCTTTCGTGGACTACAGCCCACTTCTTCGGATGCATATAGAGTGAAACATATATTGAGGAGATATATATACACACATACAGAGAGCATGAACAGGTGGGAGTTGTCTTACCAACTCTGAGAGGCCAATTAAGTAAGAGAAAAAAAACTTTTGAAGTGATAATCAAGCATGCAAAGTAGCTCGGGAGTCTTTAAAAGAGTGCAAGGTCTCATCAGTATTTTCTGAAAACAAAACCCAGCCATCAGACCTTAAGTCCTCAATAGTCTGCTGCATATCAGGCACAATACCCAAATTCTGCAGCCACGACCACGCCTCATGGTCACAGCCAATACCATAATTCTGGTCACAGGTTCTGCCACATCCAGAGCTGACTGCAATGAGGTCTTGGCTATCGTATGGCCTTCCAAAATGAAGGCCATAAACTCTTCCCTAGAGGGTTCTGTCAACTTGTCTGTGAATTTAGATATGGCCTATGAATTGACAGTAATATTGAGAGCAACATCTGCTAGTTAGCAAGGTGTATTTGCAAGGAATACACCTCCCCATTTAGACCATTATTTTGGGTTCTTTGTCCTTAGGGGTGTATTTAATTCTGCCCTTTTGAGTCTTTGGTTTTGCCTGGAATTGAAGTATTCTCCAAATACTTTAGTGTAGGGGACAATGACATTGGGGTATTCTACAGGGCTTTGCAGGCTCCAGGGGAGCCTCATTTATCAGGAGTTAATCCCCCTGGAGCTGATGGTTGGAGAATATCCATCAGTATGTGTGTATTTTCCTGCAGGAATTCCTCCTGGTAGTTGCCATATGCCTCAAGAGGTCTTGATGCACCTTAAAGTACTTGGGCACTGAGGGAGAGGAAGATTTAGGCACAGTATAGTCACCAGAGTGGATGAGGAGGGGGTTTGCACCACATGATCCATTGGGAAAACCCCCATAAGTCCAAGTGGAAGGTACTCAGTGATTACTTGAGTTGACACGGTGTGGGAGTCGGGGTCTGTTGGGACCAGTGATCTTACTATGGAGTGGGTTGAGAAGCAGGACGTCAGGGACCAAGAAGCATCCCAGGGATTCCAAGGAGGCCACAGGGCTTATGGATAAGGCATGAATGGTTCTTGTCCCAACTGTGCGACAGATACCAATTTCGGCACCGAGAGTGATCCGAGGATCTGGTGCTTATCAGACTAGGACGATGACCCTGACCTGGAACTTGAGGAAAACCAAAGTTCTCTGGTGACAGAGAGAGTCAGCCCTGATGGGGCAAACAACTACTCAGACTTGTCTGAAGCTCAATAAGGAGATGGCACTAGTGCCGAAGAGAAGTGGCGAGTTGCACAAGAGGCACTGAATGAGACACACTCCCACCCCGTACCAGGAGAGGCATCAGCACCGAGGCTGGTATCAAAAACTCTATGATGGATCTGTCACCAAAACAATGACTTTGCTGAAGTATGCACCAGCATTGAGGAGGCCTTCAGTGCCAGGCCTAGCCTCAGCTCCACAGTCTGCAGACCAGGTGGTGTGAGCTGCAGTGCTGACGGAGCTGTTGGCTTTGCAACATGGTCAGAAGGTGCCAATGGCACAACAGAGGATGATTCAGTAGAAGGCATAGTACTAGAGTACTCCTGAACAAGCAGATAGTCCAGGATCAAGAGGAAAAGCAGGTCTGATGCCAAGCAGGTCTGATGCGGCCTCATATGCCGTCAGCATGGAGACGGTTGATGCTGATGCTGACATCACTGGTACCGGACTCAGCAAACACCAGAGTTGACAGTACGGGTCCTCATTGCTCTCAGAGTGGTACCGAGGAGCGGTTGGACAGACCTGCTCCATCCTGCGTGCCGAATGAAGAATGGTACCAGTCAGCACTGCTCCTAGAAGAGTAAGAGGAGTCTCCCCAAGCCCTGGAATGGTCCTGAACAACTCCTCTTCCTCTTGGGGGAACATCAGAGTCCAAGCACAGGGTGGCATCGCTTCTGGGTCCGAAGGCAACTGCTGATCAGAGGGCTTAGGTGTCAAAGCAGGCCTCAAGGCCTGCTCCAGAAGGTGCTGCTTCAACCCAAGTCTCTTCCCACCTGAGTCCTCTTGGGGAACGACTTGCACATGGAACACCTCTCCTCAATGTGTCCCTCACCAAGACACAAGTAGCATCTTGTGTGGGAACTGTTGTTGGGGATAGCCACCATACACAATGGACAATGCTTGAACCCTGGTGAAAGCATCACAGGGCATCCAGTCACTCTACTACCACAAACTAAACCTAAGGTACTACTACTATGATATACAAGAAAGTTCTCAGAAAACAGAGAGAAAGTGTGAGGTGAAGATGCCACACAGAGCTCTGACTCTAGCCACAGGCGGCGAGAAGGAACTGAGGGGGTCAGGGTGGCACTGCCCTTGTACGGCCCAGGGAGGAGCTATGGTCGTAGGGCATGAGTGCTACCCCTATGGGTACTTCTAGACAAAGTTCTCCAGCTCTGGTGCACCCATACACCCACATGGAATACACAGCTGCATCTACTCAAATAACTAAATTAAGTTACTACCACTAAATATTAACTATATACACTAAAGTTCTGAAATCGGGCTACCCGAAGCAAATGCTATAGGGAGCGCCAACTCTCACCACAGGCAATGAGAATGAACTGAGAGGGAGGCAACCGCGACATCCCTGTTATGTCTTTGCTTGACAGCACTGGGGCACATGCACCACCTATTGATACTGTAAGCAAAAGTCTCTGACTCAATTGCACTGGGCACACAAACACTGGCAGTGGAATGTATACGAGCACAATCACTTCAAGGAGAATTAGCATATACTATCAAAGTGAGTGTTTCACAGTTAATTGTCTATCTACCAACAATAATAGGTTTCTATGCATCTTTTGGGTCCTCTCACATTTCTGTTCTGGCAAAGGAAACTTTTAGATGGAAAGTGTCACATGGCGGGAGGAGAAGCATTAGGATAAGGGTCTTAGTATAACTTCTGATGATTTAATGGAAATAGCACAGTAAAATCTGTGCATCTCTTTCAAATTTTACCCTATAGTGTCAGATCTCTAAATCAATTATTTTATTCAAGTATCATTTAACAGGTCTTAAACTATTAAAGCCAATATTTCATGTTATATCGGGTATCCTGCTTCTAGCAGGGCAAATAAAACATCTACCTCAACATGTCAAGACCTATTCCTTTCTTTGGACTGGCTCTACTCTCTGGCATATTTCTCTTCCAGCAAAGGTCAAACCAAAGTCTGCTTAAAGAAGTGTAGTCATTTCACTAACTCTTGCAAGACAGTTTAGAACTGTGCAGTTTTGTGTGCCTCAAACCAATACACTTATCTGATTTAAAGCTTGTATTACTGAAATTGCACTTATAGCATAATGAACTGTGTTCACTATTGAGTTCCCAGTGCAACATCATCTATTATAACTGGATATCAAAATACAATCAGTAATTATTTTAGCTCATGACCATATTATTTAGCCAAAACATTCTCATTTTATAGGCACTATTTACATTGCACAAGATATGACAAGAAATTACATTACTATCAACATACGCAGAAGAATTGTAAGGTTTACACGCAGAAGGATGGCAATGTTAAAGAGCACATATATAAGAAACACAAACCACTAAGGATATGTCTACACAGCCCAGGGAAGCGAGCCTCCCAGCCTGGGTCGACAGACTCAGGCTAGTGGGCTTGTGCTACCACTCTAAAAATAGACAGCGCTTCGAATTTACAGCTCAGGCTCAGAATCCCCTCACACCCCGGCTTCAGAATGTGAGCCACAACTTCACAGTGCCATCTACACAACTATTTTTAAAGCACTAACATGAGCCCTGCTACAGTTAAAACTTCTGTGTGCTCTAAGTACTATGTACCCTAAGAACCCATATTTTGTTCTTTATTCTTATTTGTTTTGACTATGTTCTTCAAAGACAGGAATCATGAATGAAGATTTGCATTGACTTCAGTGGATCAGGATTTCACCCCATGTCTTCACTACTGATCTAGTGAAGACCCACTAAATCGATGGCATAGCGCTCTCTGGTCAATCCTGGTACTCCAGCTCCCTGAAGATTAAGGCCTGTCGACCAGAGCGCATCTCCCATCCACGCAGCATAGTGAAAACACTGGGGTAGGTCGACCTAAGCTATGTCGACTCCAGCTACATTATTCATATAGTTGGAGTAGCGTAACTTAGGTCGACTTACCCCGGTAGTGAAGACATGCCCTTGTAGTCCTCCCTTTTCCCATCCTGTCCAGAAATAGTCATTACAGTCAGCATTATGGCTCCATCTCAAAACACCAAGGAGGTAAAGATCTCTCAATCAATGCCAGAATATAAATCAATTTCCCCACTTCATTTCCAGTGAGACACTTTCAGAGCAAAGGAATAAAGGAGATCAAAGAAAAAAAAAATCAAATGACACTTCCTGAGGGGGACACTGCCCAGATGCTGCCAAATCTCCTGGAAAAAAATTGGGTCTGAAGACTCCACTTGCCAAGAACCACTATTTGTGATGAGCCAATCCAACAGCAGTCCAGTTTTCACACAAGAGCAAGCCATTGATACAAAGGTTTCCAGGGCTGAAGGAGGTTTATGGCACGGCTGCAAAGTCAACACTGTTGGAAATGAAGGGGGACAGAGACCTGGGAGAGACTAGCTGTGAAGTCCCTGCAGCTAGGGATTTCTCCTTGATGCCCTTTTCTCCCTTTTCACACCCCATACCCTACCCCTGGCATCATCCACACTTCTTATTCTCTTGCAACTGGATTTCTTCTTTATGTTTAAGAGATGAAAGAGGAAAGATAGAATGGGAACCAAGAACTGAGTCTTTATGAGACTACACTAAATGCTTCCAGGACAAGAGGCCACCAAAAAAAAAAAAGTAGGTGTATTGCTTCTGATGTACTAACCTTGACTGACTTGTCTTTTGCTTTTTGCTTCTGGGAAACCACAACACTGTCTGTTCTTGCTCTTGCTAGGTAAATTGAGAGGATAGGGATACACAACAAAATTATTGTGTGGAGCAGTTGCTATTGTTATGTTAGGATGTTGATTGTGGATGGAGAGTTCAAAAGGTCATTCTTCACACAGCAAGGCAGATCTCAGATTGCTGCTCAGAACAGAAAACTACCTGGCTCCAACTAGGAGTAGGCTCTAGATTGCTGTAAACTTACTGTAAAAGTTAATTAAAAATAATAATATATATATATATTTATATATATATATATATATATATATATATATATACACACACACA